TGATTTGGCGGAGGGAGGCAATGGTTCTTTCACCGATGTCGTTGGTATCCAGGTGGTAGTGAAGAAAATGGCCGGGTCAACTGCATAATAGACTAGCTTGAGAGCAGAGTTCAACCGCTTGCTAACGAGTTCACTCACGTCATCGCCTTTGTATGCTAACATTAAAAACGTTTTCTTTTTCGGGACGGTTATTGAACTGTCAATTTTTGGTGTTACTTTACTATGCTTGGTGATGAGGGCGCCTGGATATCCGTTTGCTTGTAGGGCTTCTTTTAGGACCCTGTCTTCGTTGCTTAAACAATCCTCTGTGCATATTTCGCGAGCTCGATGAAATAGTGTGCGAACGATTTTGTATCTCATAGGGGCGAAGCTCGTGAATTGCAAGTATTGCCCAGACCACGTGTTCTTTCGGAAAACATATCTTTTAATTGATCCATCTGGACGACGAGTAATATTTATGTCTAAAAAGTCGATGCGATCATTCCGTTCGTCGTGACGACTANGGGTGAATTGTGTTGAGCCGGTGGAATAAGTTCTCTTCGCCTTCCTTGACGTTGCTTATAACGAAGATATCATCAACATAGCGACAGTATAGATCTAGTTTTGAAATATCTTCCTCAAGCCTTTCCTCTAGGTGACCAAGAAAAATGTCTGCAAGAATCGGTCCCAGTTGGACTGCCCATGGCGACCCCATCTATCTGTCTATATCCTTGTCCGAGGAACGAAAACTTAACGTTTGACGTGCAAAAGAGTAGAAGTCGCGATAGTTCACTGTTAGGCAATCCAATTTGCAAATTCTTCTCCTCTATAACCTGACAGATAATCCTGATGGTCTCATATAGCGGAACGTTTGTGAATAGCGAATTTACGTCCATTGTAAACATCTGTCTTTGTTAAATATTTCTGTGGTTCAAATGTTTACACATCTCGAAGCTATCTTTGACATTACACCGAGCAATTGACTCTCTCACCGGTACGAGAATTTTGGCTAACCACTTTGCAAATGCATTTTGCGGTGAATTGATCATGTTTAGGATGGGTCGTAACGGAATGCCTTTCTTATGCACTTTCGGTAGGCCATACAACTGTGGTGTCTGTGTTCCCCTCGGACGTAAACATTTCGCCAGCGAATCTTGTATAAGGTTCGTCTGAGTAAGAGTTTTCAGTTCCGCACAAATTCTCTTCTCTAATTCACTTGGATCGTCTGGTGTATCTCCAAGCTTAAACTTCGTTTCTTCCTGTAGGATATGCATAATCTTTTCTTTGTAGTGTGACTTATCCATCACTATTACACCGGAACCCTTGTCGGGGCGCAGCACAACGATATTTCAATTAGACTTTAGTTGTTTTAGTCCTTCGATGTGTGCATTGGTCAGTAGGGATTTCTGCTTTGTTCCTGTAGTTCGGTATTGATTCTCTATGTCCACTAGTTTTGCTTTAAACTAGCCCAGATCATCCTCATTTGTCGGCTTCATATTTGATAACTGATCAAAAAAGGACTCAAACGCCGCTTTAGATTCAATATGATTGCTCCTTCTTGGTGGAATACAATAATTTAGACCACACGATAGAGCTTCAAGTTGCAGTCGATTCAATCAATATGACGATACGTTGTACACCTATTTTTCAGGGTGTTCAGGAAAGGACGAGTTCATCAATTTATGATTCAGTGACTTACTCAATCTGTTCATTTCATACATGCGCGTCTGACGAACCTTTTCACAGCAAAAACTGGTAAATTTGATCAGTGGTATCACGGTTAGATGGTCCATAGCTCGGGAAGCATTATGTAGCACAGATAGAAGTTGTAAAAGTTCGACTCTACATTCCTCGATGTGACACTTGATTAGCCGCTTCAGGTTATTCGGTGTTGGTTGAA